GTGAGGGTTCGCATCTTCACATCCTCACCTGTGCTTGTTAATCCAATTCTTAGTTAACTGTTCTAATGGCTGAGTGGGATCGCTTCATTTCTATAATGACTGGTGATGCCAGTGACTTCTAATGTATATAGTCCATCCTCACATTAAATGACTGTCCAGATTCTTTGCATACCTTTACATAATTAATTTTTGGCTACACCGAAGTGTACTCAGGGCTTACTCCAGGTTTTGTGCTCAGAAATTACTCTCTTTGGGTCACACCCAGTAATGCTCTCCTGGCTCATGCACTGAGGAATTAGTGGCGGTGCTGGGGTACCATATGGGATGTTGGGAATCGAACCCGGGTTGGCCATGTGTAAGGCAAATGCCTTACCTGCTGTGCTATTGCTCCAGCCCCTGAGGAATCACTCTTGGGAGTGCTCAGGGGACCATATGGAGCACTGGGGATCAAATGCTGGCTGGCCGCCTGCATGGCAAGTGGACTACCCACTGTGATATCTCTTCAGTCATTTTTCATCTTAAAATTGAGCCATGCGAGTTTACTTTCTTGGTGGTGTCCTTTAAAGCATTGATTTTTATTTTTGACAGTCTTTTTTATTGCTCATGCTTTTGGTGTCTTTTCTCGAATCTAAGGTCATGAAGCTCTACCCCTTTACAGATTTAACATTTTTAAGGTCTTCAACACATTTTATGCGAATGTAAAGTGGGTAAGGGTTCATGAAGTCATTGGGTTGGCCCATCTCTATTGAAAGGCCACTTTCCCTCTTGAACAGTCTTGGTGACCTCTGGGAACTAGATGGCACAGTGCTTTGACAGCTGAATATTTCCTCCATCGCCACCATGCTGCCTTCAGCACTTTTGTAGTACTGTCCTCCCGTTGTTCATCGAGTTGCTCGAATGGGCCCAGTAATGTCTCCATGGTGAGACTTGTTACTGTGTTTGGCATATCGAATACGTCACGGGGAGCTTGCCAGGCTTTGCCGTGCGGGCGTGATACTCTCAGTAGCATGCCGGGCTCTCTGAGAGGGGCGGAGGAATCGAACCCAGCTCCGCTGAGTGGGCTGCATGCAAGGCAGCCTACTGCTGTGCTATAGTAAATTTTGAAATGGACAGATATGAGTCTTCTACGTTGTTCTTTTGGTTTTATTTTGGCTATTGTTCTTTTGGTTCTTCTGATTGTTTTGGCTATTCTGGGTCACTCACAGTTTTAAGCGTTTTCTAAGAGTTAGATTATTGATTTGAGATCTCTATTCTTTATTTCATCTTATTTTGTTTTTTGGGGGGCACACCTGTTAGTGACTGCTTCCTGGATCTCAGCTCAGGGGACATGCCAGGTATCAAACTAAGGTCTCTTCCTAGCATGCGTTCAAGCCCCAAGATGTTTGTTTTTTTATTTTGGTTTGGGGCCGCACCCACCAGTGCTCAGGGGTTTCCACTGGCTCTGAGCTGAGAAGTCACTCCTGGTGGTGCTCAGGGGACCATATGTGGTGCTGGGAATCAACTCTGGTCACCTACGTGCAAGGCAAGCACCTTACCTTATCTGCTATCTCTCCGGCCCTTGAGTTGCTAATATATATCTGTGTCTAGCTTATCTTTTGGAGATAGCAGATACTTGGGTTAATTTTTAAATAGTTTCACATTCTTGCCTTTGGACAGAATTGCTTGATCCACTCATATTTAATGTTATTGTTGGTTAATCCATTCATATTTAATGTTATTGTTGGCTTAGTTTGTTACTTTATACTGTTTTCTGTGTCTTGTGTCTTGTTTTATTAAAATCTTACACTGTTTTAAATCTTACACTGTATTACATCGCACAGTGTTCTTTAAGGGATAAGTAGGCAAGTAGAGGACAGTGTAGAAATCTTCTCTAAGTGAGTGAAAAAGCTAAGATACTTCCCGATGTTTTTTTCAGTGCTTACTCTTATCTTTAATCTGAGACTCCAACCTCTACAGCTATCACAAACGCAGCAAGCCCTCATCTGAATTCTTTAAATGTTGAACTGACAAAGGCAAAGGCACCAATGAATTTGCGTTTTGTTTTGAGCCATGGATCCTTGTCAAGAGCTTCTCCTGAATGATTCCCAGGGATGCCCCTTCTTCCTGCCATTGCTTCGAGTCTGGAGAGCCCATTTTACCAGGACCCCGTCCATGGACTATATCTGAGAGCAGTCTGACCTTGGGACGCTGAGCAGTCAGCCCTTCAGCTGAGCCAGCCGCCTCGCAACTCCTGCTTCATTTCCTTCCTGTGCTGCTTTGATTTCTTCTCTTTCCAGCCTTCACATTCATTTCATGTTTTTTTCTTCAGTACATTTTTTGAGTGTATTTTTAGTGGTTGCTCTTGAGTTTACTGTATGGACTCATTAGGATCAATTGTAGATTTCTGTTAATTCTAGGAGCTAAGAAAATGTTACACCGATAGCCCATTTGTGGTGTTGTTGTTATAGGACTGTATTATTACAATCTATCACAATCTAAAAGTACATTATTTGTTGTTACTGTGTCTGGCATATCGAATACTCTCGGTAGCTTGCCGGGCTCTCCGAGAGGGGCGGAGGAATCGAACTCGGGTCGGCCATGTTGGCCGCTTGTAAGGCGAACACCCTACCACTGTGCTATCGCAAAAGTACATTATTAGAGTTCTTTTTTTTTTTTTGCTCTTTGTGTCACACACGGCAATGTTCAGGGGTTACTTCTGGCTTTGCACTCAGGAATTACTCCTGGCGGTGCTCCAGGGAACCATATGGAAAGCTGGGAATCGAACCTGGGTTGGCCGCATGCAAGGCAAAAGCCCTACCCGCTGTGCTATCACTCCAGCCCCCGACATTATTAGAGTTATTCTTACCAATAAGTTATCACTTGATTTTGTGGGGTGCATGTGAGCCACCGCAGTGGTGCTCAGAGCCTTGCTCTGTGCTTGGGGGTCAGGCCTGGTGGGTCTCGCAATAGAAGATGGAACGTAGGTGACTCTCTGCAAGGTAAGAGCCAGTTTGCAGTCACTTTTCTGTTCATTTCATTTTCTTCTTTGCTACAGGCTTTTGAGTTTCCTGGTGATACTTTATTTTCTCCTTATATTTTGCTTCCAGTGTGTGGTCAAAGAACTAGAATGTAATCTTCTTTAAGATATTAGTTTCTTTAGGGAAGGGTCTTTGTGTCCTTTTGCTTGACCTTGTCTGTGGTCTCCTCTGCAGTCTCCTCTGCTGTCTGGGACGAGGCTGCCTGTTCTGGCTTTCCCACCCAGCCTTCTTCCTGGACTTTGGGCTTTCCATAAATTTGAGGTCTGTTGGTAAAGTTCTTCCATTCTCTTCAGGCTTGTTTGTAGCTATTTTGGGGGTGTGGGAGTTTCTACTCTTGTTTTATTTTTCCATTTCCTCCCTTTCCTGCCCTTCACTGTTGATGAAGAAGTTGTTGCGATCACCAGGGCTTTGCTGCGCACACGCGCACACACACACCTCTGTCTGTATTGTTACACACTTTTCACTGAGGTTGGTACTTGCTTGGTGTGGAGCTTATGCTTCTCTCTGTTGCTGTAATGCTGGACCTTATCGCCCTCTTGTGGTGTTACATGCACACACATGTGACTGCTGTGCCCCAGAGAGGGGATGGGCTGGGGAATGTGTCGAGAATTGCTTGCTTGGGGGAGCTGAGTCCCAGGCAGAACACCTGGGCTAGAACTCAGATTCTCCACTTGAAAGGCCAGGCGCTCAGCCACGGGACCACCTCCCCAGCCTGAAGACTAGGAAGTGCATTTGGGTAAGGATTAAGAATCCAGCTATGGAAGGGAATGGATGACATTTTAATGACACTAGTCTTTTACTCTCCTAACATTCTAGGTTATTTGGGATGTTTTAGATACAAAATACAAGGAAAAATATTTCATAATTTTTTAATGATGAAAACTGTGACCGTCTTCTATTCTTACGTGGTAACCGTGATAAAGATAGTTTTGGTCTCCATAAACAGGACATCCTAAGCCCCACAGTACGCCGCCTTCCTCTCCTCTCACTCACGTGCTGCAGTCTCTTCTCATTTTGCACAGCTCTTTCCAGCTGCACAGAAATTCAGCACCAAGAAAGGGCTTGTTAATATAGCATTAAATAATGCAGAGCCTGTAACTTCCTGTTTGTAATGAATTCTGATTTCTGCTGGTTTATATTTACTTTGTAAGCACTCTCAAGTTCTTCTTTATTGTACGATCCCCCAAGCACCACTGCATTTTGGCCCAGGATTTAAAAACTGAAGTATTGAGTCTGATCTTAAGGATTCTCTCTTTTTTTATTGTTGTTTTGGGTGTTTGGGGGTTTGTCACAACTGGTGACACTGAGGGATTACTCCTGGCTCTGCACTTGGAAATTCCTCTTGGCAATGCTTGAGGTGCTGGGATTTGAACCTGAGTCAGATTCATGCAAGGCAAACGCCGTCCCTGCTGTACTATCTCTCTCACCCAGAATGATCTTCATTTAAAAAAAGAAGGTTTTTGCTTTTGAGGTTTTGAGAGGATAGGGAGTTGACATGATCCTGGGATCAGACAAGAGGAGCAATTAGGATATTGTTGCCTCAAACTGGTGTGAATGAATGTGGGGGACTGTGGAAAATGTGGGTAAAAGATTTTTGCGTATGATGGCCAAAGCTTAATTGAGAATTAAAAAAACAAACAGAAAAGCACCTCCAAAAACCTCTTGCTCCTGTTGGCTTCCTTGGACAAAAGAGGTTGTGAGTGGGGAAGTGTAATCTGCCCGGTCTCTGGTGGTGAGGGGCCATAAATGAAAGGGCAGGGACAGATCTGTTAAGGCCACAGAACCAGAAACTGAGGAGCTGGCTCGGGGTGGTGTGGGGAGGAGTATGTGAGAGAGGAGGGTTCACTTGGATCCCTCCATACTTCCGGCATGAGCCACGGGGCAGACTCAGAGAAGAGTCCTACTTTATGTCATCAGATTCTGACGTTCCGCTGGCCGCAGGAGGTTCTCTCGGACTGTTGCTAGTCTCCCTCTCCTTTGCAGATGCCACTTCAAATGAGCAGCAGGAGCTCTTCTGTCAGAAGCTGCAGCAGTGCTGTGTACTGTTTGATTTCATGGACTCTGTATCAGACTTGAAGAGTAAAGAAATTAAAAGAGCGACATTGAACGAGCTCGTCGAGTATGTCTCTACTAACCGTGGTGTGATCGTTGAGTCAGCATATGCTGACATAGTGAAAATGGTAAGCCTCTAGACTATCCTCAGAGCAATAGGAAATCAAGTAAGGTGGGATATTTTTTCTTTTTCTTTTTGAGTCACACCCGGAGCTGCACAGGGATTAATTACTCCTGGCTCTGGACTCAGGAATTACCCCTGGCAGTTCTCAGGGGACCATATGGGATGCTGGGAATTGAACCAGGGTCGGCTGCGTGCAAGGCAAACACCCTACCCGCTGTGTTATTGCTCCAGCCCTGAGGTGGGATTTTGAATCTGACTTTTAATATACTTTTACTATTCAACAGTGTGCTCTTTATTTTTTGCTTCTACGAATTTTTTGTTGTTGTTTTAGTTTCGCGGCCACACCTAGCAATGCTCAGGGGTTCCTCCTGGCTCCGCATTCAGAAATTACTCCTCGCAGTGCCTGGGGATGCTGGGGATCAAAGTTGGGTCTGCTCTGCACAAGGCAATCTCCCTCCCTACTGACTGTACTATCACTCCATCCCCTTGAATTTTAATCAAAAAACAAGAGTTTTAGGAGTTAAGTAATAACAGGTGTTTGAAGTAGCTGGTGGAAAAAATGAATTACTGCTTCATTTATTGAATAAGAGATGGTTTAGGGTAGCACTGTACCGCTGTCCTTCGATTTGCTTGAGCGGACACCACTAACGTCTCCATTGTGAGACTTGTTGTTACTGTTTTTGGCATATCGAATATGTCACAGGTAGCTAGCCAGGCTTTGCCGTGTGGGCGGAATACTCTGTAGCTTGCCGGGCTCTCCGAGATGGACGGAGGAATCGAACCCTGGTCGGCCGCGTGCAAGGCAAATGCTCTACCTGCTAGGCTATTCCTCCGGCCCATGGTTTAGGGTAACATTTGCTAATTCTTCTCTACCAAACAGAAATTTGTTTGGAATTTGTCAGTTTTATATTTTGTTGTCTTGTAACAAATGATTTTTTTAAATGACAGTACAGCAGCAAGGGCGTTTGCCTTGCTCGTGGCTGACCTGGGTTTGATTCCCAGCGTCCCATATGGTCCCCCGAGCCCCGCCAGAAGTAATTCCTGAGTGCAGTCAGGAGTAACCCCTGAGCATCGCCGGGTGTGACCCAAAAAGCAAAAAAAAGACTGACAGTAATTAGTTAACTAAGTACACAATTTATTGTATTTATTGTATATGCCACCAGAGTACAGGGGTATAGCAAGGCTAACTAAACTGTTAAGTCTTCATTTTCTCCGCTGCCTAATATATTTGCCCCGGAGGGAGAGGGAATGTATAGGGAGAACTCAGCTTGACCACAACATTCTGATTGAGGTTTCTTTCATCACACTGTACTAGAAGAACTAGTTAAGGGACTTGAGAGATTATTTGTAAACTAATAATAAATTTGAGGTCCCAAGTTTGCTTTCTGGCCCTTCATTTCTTAGATACATACATGCACCTTCTTCCCCCACCCCGCAGTACTGCCAGGGGGTGGGGGGGGATGCTGGTGGTGCCCAGCACCGCTGGTCCACTAATCGAGCATTGCACCATTCCCAAAGTCCCTGAGCATTGTTGGGTGCTCCCTTCTCCAAACAAAAGGTGATGGAAACCAGAGAGCTTGTAAGCAGGTAGGCACTTGCCTTGCACATGACTAACCCAGGTTTGGCACTGGCACTGAATAGGGATCCCCAAGTCCCACCAGGAGGGATTCCTGAATACAGAGACAGGAATAAGCCCCGAGCACAGCATGGGGAGAGAAAAAAAATGATGCCAACTTATCCTTATCCTTAAAAACATTCTGTATTGAGTATTACTGGCTGCCTTCATTTGCCTTTTCCCTAATAATGACCTTACTTCAAAGACATTATTGACATATTGCCTTAAAAAATTGATATTCTGCTACTATTTGTGAAATTGATATTTATTTGCTGGCTTTCCCTCCTGTATCCGCTTTGAGTTCTAGCAGATCAGATTCTAGGTTATTCTTGTTTGAGTCTTACGGTTTAGTATTGGCTCTTAGCAGTTCTTTGGCCAACTGTATCCACCCATTGACCAAGAGTTGGAGGTTCCCTCTAGCATTAACAGGTGATTCTCCTTTAGTTCCTGGTGTGGGATCATCCTGCCTCAGTGTTCAGACGTTAGGAGACACACTGTCATTCTTCAGGTTGGGGTGGGACTATGATTTCAGAGACATGAATATATTTTCTTTTTTCTCTGTTGAATCTCAGAGGAGATGAGATATTAATTTAAAAACTAAAGACTGTAAAAAGATTCCAGCCTGCCATGTCTGTAGTATGTTATTATGGAGTGTTACTCAGATGAGGGTATTTGACCAAACTCCTCTGGGGTCTGAGGTAAGGAAATGGCTGGGCCAGAGTATGGCAGTGAGGAGAGTTGTAAAGGAACTAGGCTTACCCCAGAACTTTGCCTTCCTCGTTCACCCTTCTCTTTTTAAAAGGAAATAAGACTTGGGAAGAACAGCTTATAATTTAAGGAGAAATTCAGAGCTCATCTGTTATATTTAGTATCTTGGTGTCTGTGCAAGTCAGGGTTATCCAAGAGCAAAAGAGAGGAACTAACATCCGCCTTCAGGTGGGGTTTTAGACTAAGCTTTTGGCCATAACCTAACATCTTTTTTCTCCAAGTTACTGTTGAAACATTGTTTTATATTTTTTATTTCAGCTACATACCAGAGAACATAAATCTGAATTTGCTTTTCTTTTCAGATCAGTGCTAACATCTTCCGTACTCTTCCTCCAAGTGACAATCCAGATTTTGATCCAGAAGAGGATGAGCCCACGCTTGAGGCCTCTTGGCCTCACATACAGGTGTGAAACATAAGTATATGATTTCCACTGTCACAAATCTGCTGGGATCCCTGACTTTCAATGGTTTTTTTTTTTTTTTTTTTTTTTTTTTTTTTGCTTTTTGGGCCACACCCTGTGATGCACAAGGGTTACTCCTGGCTCTGCACTCAGGAATTACCCCTTGTGGTGCTCAGGGGACCAAATGGGATCCTGGGAATCAAACCCGGGTCGGCCTCATGCAAGGCAAATGCCCTACCCGCTGTGCTATTGCTCCAGCCCCAACTTTGAATGATTTCTTAAAATCCCCTACCCCCCTCAAAATACTGCTTCCCACTGACTTAGTGGTTAAGTGCACTAATATTTACCATTGATACTATTTTACTGTGCAGGTCACTGGCATTAAGTCCCTTCAGTGCTGTGCAAAATTACTGTTTCATTCAAGAACCTGTTTTTTGGGTGATTCTCAGGGGGCCCAGGGACCCTCCTGGCAGTTCCCATCCAGCCTGAGGATATGGTGCTGGAGCTGACTGGGCCGTCCTGGCAGTGCTCAGGGCATCTTGTGCCAGGGAACAAACCAGCCTCAACAGTATGCAAGGCATGTGTACCACCTCTGGTTGTTAAACTACTTTTTTTTTTTTTAATTTGGTTCATGGTGGGTACCTCACAGTGTAAGCCTGGTGGCTGGTGGTGCTCAAGGCTTACTTACTCTGCTCAAGGATTGCTCCTGGTGGGCTTGGGAGACTGAATGTGCTGGGGGGAACGAACCTGGGATCGACTGCATACTAGGCAAATATCCTACCCGCTGTCCTCGATCTCCAGCCTCCCCTAAACTGCTTCTTAAAAGATAACACAGGACATAGGTTCATCTGAGAGTTTATGCAGTAGTTGGTGCAAAATTGGTGATGCTATATTTAATAATGCAAAAGTTTTTAAAGCTTGAAATTTAATCTCATGCTGTTGGATAATCTGAGGAAGTATCAGTCTTTGAATTTTTTTCAGTTTCCCATTAAGTATTTTTGTTTGCCCATTGGAAGTAACTATATTTTTCCAGGTAATTTGCTTTCTGGTTTTCACTGATACAAAGTTCCATTTAAATTCCCTTAAGCTAGTGGTTTTTAATATTACAGGAAGTGGTACATTGCTTTCAAATATGACATTTTGTTTTTGTTTTGTTTTGTTTTTTTGGGGGGGCCACACCTGGGATGCTCAGGGTTTACTTCTAGCTTTACACTCAGGAATCACTCCTGGTGGTGCTCCCTATAGGATGCTGGGATCGAACCCAGGTTTGTAGTGTGCAGGGCAAGCGCCCTGCCTGCTGTGTTACCTCTCCAGCCTCCTCACATATGACACTTTGGAAGTGAGTTTTTGCCCAAGGTAAATTCTCAGAGACATTCAGGACCTGTGCAGGCATGGAATGGAGGTGCGGATCTGTGGGCGTCCCCCTCAGTGGAAGGTAGATCAGGGTCAGATGAGAGATTGCATGATCGTCTGTACTGCTTGCAGCCCCCAGAGTCCCTGTGCAGAATCTCCTCTATTTTTCCTTATGTATGTGCCTCAAAGCGAAATTATTTAGTTCACAAAAAGTCCTTTATAAGGTCTAGAGAGAGACAGCAGGAAGGGCACTTGCCTCATATGCTGCTGACCACCTTTGCTCCCCGGCACCCCATATGGTTCCCCAAATCTGCAAGGAGTGATTCCTGAGCCGGAAGGAAGTCATGATCACTGCCAGGTAGGGCCCCAAAACAAAACAAAAATTTCTTTATAAACAAAAACCTCATTGATACTCACTTTTTTCTCGGCTGTCAGTAGTGTAAGAGCCTGTCAGAGCATCTGTTCTTCGACATGATGGTCACAGACACACACTCAGTGGCTGAGCCCCATCAGCCTCACCTGGCAATGCTTTCGTAAGTGTGAGGGTCTGTGAATCTCGTGTCCTGTCCATTTTTATTCTTCCCTTCAGTGTGCTCTCTCTGGCTATCAAAATGTGTTTTATTTTTTGGGCCACATACCTGGTGATGCTTATGGGCTACACCTGGCTGTGCACTCAGAAATCACTTTTGGTGACTCTCCGGGGACTGTGTGGAGTCCCAGGAATTGAACCGGGGTCGACAAGTACATTACCTTCTGTGCTATCTCCAGCCCACATTTTGGTTGTTTCCCCCCCCCCCCCAAATTTTGCTGTTTAAAAACTGATTCCATTTGATCACACTTTTATAATGAGATCTGAAATCTCCTTAAGTTTGTAAGTTAGGAGTGAGGGTTCTTATGTGAAGTGACGTGGGGGAATTTTGATCGACATCATCTTAGCTTTCATTGATTTCTCTTATAGTTGGTGTATGAATTCTTCTTAAGATTTTTGGAAAGCCCTGATTTCCAGCCTAGTATTGCAAAGCGATACATTGATCAGAAGTTTGTACAACAGGTAAGGAACTCTATTGTAAAAGAGCTTATATTAATTTACAGTTAATCTATCAACTCATTTGCATCAACTCTATTGTAAATGTTCTTATATTCCCTTTGCAATAGTTTGTTAACTTGTGGTGAAAATAGTTTTTCTAAACTGTTTTGGTTTATTGTAATTTAATAGCACTAATATTCTGTCTTTTTTGGCGTTTTGGGTCACATCTGGAGATCCTCAGGGTTTACTCCTGGCTCTGCTCAGGAATCACTCCTGATAGGGCTTGGGGGACCATGTGGGATCTGGAGATCAAACCCAGGTTAGCTGCGTGTAACACAAACACCCGACTTACTTAATAGTATCGCTCCGGTCCCACAGTGCTAATGTTCTTGCCAGATAACTAGGGTGCAATGAAGTACATTTGAGACAGTATTTATAATCAGTGGAGGGCTTCGTACATAGTCAGATTTTCTACTCAGTCCTAAATTCTCAGGTATTTTATAAAGACCAGAAAAGAAGACTCTTTTTGGGGCTGGAGTGATAGCACAGTGGGTAGGACGTTTGCCTTGCATGCAGCTGACCCGGGTTCGATTCCCGGCATCCCATATGGTCCCCTGAGCACCGCCAGGAGTAATTCCTGAGTGCAGAGCTAGTAGTAACCCCTGTGCATCGCTGGGTGTGACCCAAAAAGAAAAGAGAAAAAAAAAAAGACTTTCGGATATCAGAGGAAGTTTCATATATATTTATGAGTAAACATTTTTAAAAGTCTTTAAATTTGAACTTGACCATACGTCTTAAGCATTTTCACTTAGAAATGACAGAAGAAGTGGAAATGGGATCATTGTGAGCAATTTGGTTCCCAGGATTCCTTCCACCATCACTGTCAGTCACAGTTCTCTCTCCTTCACCTCCGCACTGCAAACTGCCCAGCTGCTCAGCCCCACATTCCCAAATGAAATGGGATCTTTAAGAAGGAAAAAAGGTGAAAAAGGTGTAGCTGCACATGTGTAGTGACTTTTATCTTTTTGTAAATAGGTTATTAGCTTGTATTTTTGGGAGCCTGAATATTCAGTCTAAGATGTGTTCATTTTTCAAAATACTTTAAAAATGTAAAGAATTTTTTTTTTTCTTTTTGGGTCACACCCGGTGATGTACAGGGATTACTCCTGGCTTTGAACTCAGGAATTACTCCTGGCAGTGCTCAGGGGACCATATGGGATGCTGGGAATCGAACCCAGGTCGGCCGCGTGCAAGGCAAATGCCCTACCCTCTGTGCTATCACTCCAGCCCTAGATTCTTCTTGTCTATGTGAAATTGGCTGGCCCTGAAAAAATTTGTCAAGTAGACTAAACCTTTGTAGGTTCATTTTTCTTTCCTTTTTTGGAGAGGAGTGTTGCACACCCAGCTGTGTTCACTGACTGGCTCTGTGTTCAAGGTTCACTCCTGGCAGGGCTTGGGGAACCATATGCAGTGCTGGGGGAGGCAGAAGCCCAGTGAAAGGCAAGCTTGACTCTGTACAGTCAGTTACTGTGGGGTCCTTTCTGAAAGATTGCAAAGACAGGGAGAGTCCAGTTCTGTCATTTGTAACTGCCACCCAGAAGACCTCCTTCCTGGTCGCTGTGAAGGTCTTGACAAAGAACATTATGAAGACTATCCCTGTAACAGTTGGACCCCTCATAGACGGGGTAAGCAGGAGGTATGTGACAAATAACGGTGAACTCATGAAGCCATGCAGGTTTGGTAGTCAGAAATGAATGTGCACTGGTTTCCTGCCACAGTTAAGGGAGAAGAGGAACCATATCAAACAAGCTCAGATCAGAGCACCTTGGAGGGTGGCAGTACTTTCCGGCTTCCTCACTTTGGGGTATGAGAGGCTCAGGCTGCTGCTCGCTGGGCTGGTCTGGAGGCGGGTGGGGGAGCAAGAAACTCGATGGATGGGGCCATTTTCCACCTACTACTGCAGATGCCTGAGTTATCTGAGAAGCCAAATCCCAGTCATTGTTTTTATCCATTACATGACCCATCCCACTTACCACTTCTCAAGTTCCCTAGTGAGTAGCTTTGTTTCTTGTTCATTGATTTTTTTTTTACCCTTTGATTGATTTTTGCCATGGCAGTGCCTGGCTGACCCTGTTTCTGCTGGCTGTTCTAGTATACAGGTGTGTTATGGGCTCTGCTGCAGTGTGAGGCTTTGGTAGAGTTTGTGCAGGCATCTCTGCTTATGTTTTTTTTTTTTTCTTTTTGGGTCACACCAGGCGATGCTCAGGAGTTATTCCTGGCTCTGCACTCAGGAATTACTCCTGGCGGTGCTTGGGGGACCATACTGGGATGCCGGGGATCGAACCCAGGTCGGCCGCATGCAAGGCAAACACCCTACCCGCTGTCTGCTTATGTTTTGACATCACTTGACTCAGTGTTAAGTTTTAAGTCTTAGGAGATGAGAAAAACTTAGATTCCAGTTTGACAATTGTTCTTTCAGGAGAAAAAACATTGCATCATTTCATTGTATGACCGAGACTTAGACCCGAAAGCTTTGTAACTGCTCTCACGGTGATTCAATAAATAAAATTATAAAAAATGAAAAAAAAAGTAAGGTGGAGTTCATGCACAATTCAATCAACTAATCAGTGGCTGAATAAAAAAACTACAGTTGTTGGCCAACAGTTACTCTCTAGGATCCCTAATATGGTTTCTTGAATTAGAAATAACAATGAGGGTACGCTTTTATTCAAAAGCAAGCAAGTATCAGAAAACTTTGAGTGTCCTAAGTAGTTGAACCATTTTTAGTTAGAATGATCTGAACGGGATTGGGTGGGTGGATAAGCATCAGCTATCATCAGTATCATATTCCTGCATGTTGTGTAGCTGGAGTTTCATTTTGTACTTTTGGGCCACGCACCCAGCAGTACTCAGCACTTATTCCTGGCTCTGCTCTCAGGGATCACTCCTTGTAGGCTCCAGGGACCATTTGGGGTGCCAGGGATCAAACACAGCTTGGCAATGTGGGAGGCAAATACCTTACCTGCTGTATTATTGCTCTGGCCCCTCATTTGGTATTTAATGACCCAGAAGCAAAGAATGTAAATTTTACAAATACAGGACACTTGTATAGGGGTAGATAACAAAGGTATCGTACCTCAAAAAGTCCCCACCCACATAAGAGAGACCCATGTCAAGTACATGCAGAATCAGAGAATGGAAGGGCTCTGAGACCTTCAGTCTTTTTGTCCCCAGGTAGAAACTCCCATGACGATTTGATCGGTGATGCAAGTCTGTAAAGAGATCGTTTTGTTATAATTTGGCCATTACTGACTGAAACAGAAATCTTTGATCTCATCATTTGTCTTATTTTGTGACTGATTTTACTCTGTTCACGTGTTAGCCAGTGTTTTATACTGACCAGATAATTCTTGTTTTGTTTTGTTTTTGCTTTTTGAGTCACGCCTGACAATGCACAGGGGTTAGTCCTGACTCATGCACTCAGGAATTACTCCTGGCAGTGCTCAGGGGGACCATATCGTTTGCTGGGAATCTAACCTGGGTTGATTGTGTGCAAGGCAAACACCCTACCTGCTGTGCTATCACTCCAGCCCCCTGACCAGATAATTCTTAAAGTGTTGGAATGTTGAATTTTTTTAGTGTAAAATCACAAAGAAAAGGCCAGATTTATTGTATTAATCTAGTAAACTTCTGTTCCTACTTTTATTCTTTAAGCTTAAAATTTAGCACAGCGGTAGGGCGTTCGCCTTACAAGCGGCCAACATGGCCGACCCGAGTTCGATTCCTCCGCCCCTCTCGGAGAGCCCGGCAAGCTACCGAGAGTATTCGATATGCCAGACACAGTAACAACAAAGTCTCCAATGGAGACGTTACTGGGCCCGCTCGACTATCAAAAATAATACAAAATAATTCAGAGGGGTCAAAGAGACAGTACAGTGAGTAGGATGTTTGCTTTTACGTGCAGCTAACCTGCGTTCCATCCCTGGTACCCCATATCTCCCCCCGCATCCCCTCCAGGAGTGATCCCTGAGTATAAAGCCAGAAGTAAGCTGAGCACCACCGGTGTAGCCCACACACTAACAAAAGAAATATAAAATAGCTCAGCTTTCAACATACTAAAATTATGAGCCATGTTTAGTTGTCAAGAGTAGGATAGAATTCTTATTGACAAGACAAATATTCTACTTTGTATGTATTTTAATGTATGGCATTCCTTAAAATGAAACAAGGTACATAAATAACTAATTTCAGTTTTATCTTTGAAGCACGAATAATAGCAGCTTGGTAGGAGAAAATCTTCCTTTTTTTATTTTTTAAGATTTCACAAACTAAGATTCAAAGTTAATAATAAAGTGAGTTTTTTTTTTCTTTTTTTTTTTTTTTTGCTTTTTGGGTCACACCCGGCGATGCTCAGGGGTTACTCCTGGCTCATGCACTCAGGAATTGCCCCTGGCGGTGCTCAGGGGACCATATGGGGTGCTGGGAATTGAACCTGTGTCGGTCATGTTGGCTGCGTGCAAGGCAAACGCCCTACCCGCTGTGCTATTGCTCCAGCCCCTAAAGTGAGTTTTCAGCTCGATTATTTTTATTTATTTTTCATTATTTATTTATTTATTTTGCTCTTTGGGTCACACCCAGCGATGCTCAGGGTTTACTCCTGACTGTGCACTCAGGAATCACTCCCGACAGTGCTCTGGGGGAGCATATGGGATGCTGGGAATCGAACCCAGGTCAGCCACGTGCAAGGCAAACGCCCTACCTGCTGTGCTATCGCTCCAGCCCCTCAATTATTTTTAAAAAGTAATTTCTCAGATTTCTCTTAAAGCTCCTGGAGCTTTTTGATAGTGAAGACCCACGAGAGCGCGACTTCTTGAAGACAGTCCTGCACCGGGTCTACGGCAAGTTCCTGGGGTTGAGAGCATTCATCCGGAAGCAGATCAACAATATCTTCCTCAGGTCAGTGCTCACATTCTTGGCAAGTGGCATTCCCCCACCACATGCAATGCTTTTACTCCAGTTGCTTTTGGTGAATTTTTAATATCAGCAACATTAAACTTTGACTGAGGGTATTTGAGTGTAAAATCTTAGGGTTTTTTTTGGACCTGAGAGAGCCCAGCAGTGAGGTGCCCTAACTCCTTTTGTGGGTGTCCACCCGTCCCAAGGTGGACTGGGGTTGCTCCTGGTTCTGCACTGAGGAATCACTGCTGGTGAGGCTTGGGGGCCTATATATGAAGCTGGTAAGCTGAGGATGGAATCCAGGTCAGTTGTGCACAAGGCAAACTCCCTCCCTGCTGTATTACCACTCAGGCCATTCCAGTCCCTAAATTTTTATTTATTTATTTATTTATTTATTTATTTTTGCTTTTTGGGTCACACCCGGTGATGCACGGAGGTTACTCCTGGCTCTGCGCTCAGGAATTATTCCTGGCGGTACTCAGGGGACCATATGGGATGCTGGGAATCGAACCCAGGTCGACCGCGTGCAAGGCGGCAAACGCCCTACTCCCCTACTCGCTGTGCTATCGCTCCAGCCCTCCAGTCCCTAAATTTTAAAGTAAAATGTTCGACTTGAAATGATAATATATAGCAAATTCCAGCCTACCGTGTTTTAAGAGGAAAAAACCCTTTTATGAGATTGCTGTAACTGACCAGTGACTGAGCAGCTCACAGTGCACTGACCCAGTATGTAGGGTGGTCGTGTGGTCGCTTTTGTCTTTCTGCTGCTGCTTTCTGTTGCTGGAGTTTCTGATGTGTCGCTGTGTGTCTCTCTCTTCAATTCAGGTTTATATATGAAACAGAGCACTTCAATGGTGTTGCTGAACTCCTTGAAATATTGGGAAGGTGGGTATTAGTTTTATTGTTTTTTTTTTTGGGGGGGGGGTGCCATACCTGTCTGCTCAGGGTTTATTCCTGGCTCTGCCCTCAAGAATCACTCCCGGTGGTGCTCTAGGGACTGCAGGGTGGATGTGGGGATTGAATCCAGGTTGGCCATAGGTGAGGCAAGGCAAGCATCCTTTCTGCTTTATTGTCTCTGGCCCCAGCTGGTTTTTGTTGTTTTTAAGATGAACTTTATGTATCTTAGCTGGAGTTGGAGAAAACATTTCATATTTTAAGGTTTTAATATAAAGCACAAGACATAGTTTCTCAGCCTTTTATTTTTGGGGGGGCCACACCGAGTGATGCTCAGTACTTATAGGAGCTAGGGGACCATATACAGTGCCGAAGATTGAACCAGGTGGGCTTTGTGCAAGGCAGACACCTTAACCCCTGCACTACCTCTCTGGCTCCAGTTTCAAATTTCTTTTATTTGGGTGAGGGGCACTACAACCAGTGGTATTCAGGCTTACTCCTGGCTCTGTGCTTCAAGATCTGTGGAGATCATGCAGTGTTGGGGATCAAACTGGGGTCAGCCGCATGGAAGGCAAGAAACTTATCCCCTGTACGATCTCTCTGGCCCCAAATAATGAATATTCTACCAATATTGTGATCATGGTCACGGTCCTCCCGTTGTTCATCGATTTGCTCGAGCAGACCCAGTAATGTCTCCATCATGAGACTTGTTGTTACTGTGTTTGGCATATCAAATACGTCACGGGTAGCTTGCCAGGCTCTGCCATGCGAGCGAGATACTCTCGCCAAACAATATTGTGATACTAATTTTTTTTGTTTTTTCCTCACATTTTATTTTCAGCCTCCTCTGTGAACATTTAATGATTAATAAATGCCACAAGACAGCATAGATTTTACTTACTATAGATTTAGTTTTAGAGTATAACTTTTATCAAGGAAGGACAGCTGACGTCATCAGGGACAATTTGGTTGCAAATGAAACTTTGTTCTTTTTTGTAATCCAGTACCTAAGTCTTTCCTTCCTGAAGACTTCCTCAGTTTATAGGAGGTTTCGGGGGCAACTGTGTTATGCGTTCCTCCTTGTTTGCCTTGGAAGAGAGTTTTTTTTTTAATTTAGTCACTGTGAGATACAGTGACAAAGCTTTCATGTTTGAGTTTCCGTCATACAGTGATCAAACACCCATCCTTTCACCAATGCACATTTTCCACCACCAAAGTCCCCAGTATCTACCCCCGTCCCAACCCTTCCCCTGCCTGTGTGGTAAAAAATTTCCACAATACTCCTTCTCTACTTTGATTACATTCAATATTTCAGTACCAGTCTCACCATTATTATTTGGAACTTTCTTGTCGTCACTCAAACCTGCCGAAAGGGCAGTGCTAGACAATTTGTATTGCTTGTTATAAATTGCATATGATGTCATGCAGCTGCTTGATTCAAAGAGGAATCGAAAGAGCTTTGCTTGGAATATCACGATTCGCTCAAATGAGAGATAGAATCCGGAGTTCTGATCTTCGTCAACGCTCAAGAATCAGGGACGCTGTCTCATTTGCCAAGACATCAAAAATCAAATGGGCTGGACACGTAATGAGGTTTACAGACAACCGCTGGACTAGAGCCATTACTGATTGGATTCCATGGGACATCAAAAGATCACATGGACGCCCACCTACAAGATGGTCAGACTTCTTCGTCAAGACCCTGAATAATCAGTTTGAGGCTCTGCATGTTCCTAGAACAAACAGATACCACTGGGCTACGCTAGCACGCAACCGGGATGAATGGAGACGTTACTGGCACCCGCTCGAGTAAATCGATGAATAGCGGGGATTAAGTGATTAAGTGATAAGTCATACAGCTGCTTCTGAAATACCAAAATTTTAATAATTAGGGTCTGGAGAGCTCTCTGCAGTGAGCTGCTCAGTTCTGAGGTTCTTTGTGTGTCTCTGGATCACGGCCATTTAAGGAGCTTTAGTAGCTGGAAGCAGTTGGTGGGTGTCATCTTAGGGTCCCATGGGGCGGGGTACAAGAGGGAGTGGCTCCACCCATCCCGTGAGGCCTGGTGTTTGCATTACTGCTCCCATGTACCTGGGTTCTGGAAGATGGAGGCCGCCAGGATTGCTAGGGGGCAGGCGGAGGGACAGCACCTGCCCCTGTTTGGAGTAGCCCAGTGAAATTGACCAATTGCAAAGTCCGGAAGCATCTCTTCTGCAAGCTACTTGGTTCCAAGATTCTTTTGTGTCAATACTCATGGTTTTAGGAAGGGAAAATAAAGACCGCACTGTGAAACTAGCACAGTGGGCTTTACTGAACACACACAGAGATTACTGTGCCCTCACTGGCCACCGTGGTGTCCTCATGGGGCCATGGAATGATGTGGACAGACTGCATAGGAATGGCTGGCAGGAAGCTGGCAGAGTCATTCCACACAGGGCTGAAGCAGGACCACGCTCCTAATGGCCCCGTAATGGAGCCTCTACAGACGTAAAGCGGTATCCACCTAACGCTGGCCTTGCCTCTTTCCTTGCAGTATTATCAATGGCTTTGCATTGCCGCTGAAGGCAGAACACAAGCAGTTTCTAATGAAGGTTCTCATTCCCATGCACACCGCCAAAGGACTGGCTCTATTCCACGCGCAGGTGAGTGCTGTTGGCAGGACTGAGGCAGGGAGAGGCACAGGGCAGCGGTGACTGAGGTGTGGTGGACTTGGTGTTGGTGAACGAGTTCAGTGCACTGTAGCACTTCAAGGCAAGGCCCTGACTGTGCTAGTTTAATGTCCCTGATCGTTTACTGTTGATCTTACTATTCAGAGAATGATGGAAATCTAGGGTGTGTACAGAAACATGTTGAAATAGTTCGCTCTGGCCTTGATTTACTGATCAGAATTGCTATTTTAAAAGTTTAGAAGTACTTTAAAAGTTACACAGTTGTGAATATATTCCTTTGTATAGATTGAGATAAACTACATTAAAATCTGCCAAAGTTCTTTCTTAACCAGATATTAAAATCCCACATCACTGAATTATCTCCCCAGTAATATCGATGTTTTCCTTGTTGTTCTAGCTAGCCTACTGTGTGGTGCAGTTCCTGGAGAAAGACACAACACTGACAGAACCTGTAAGGACTGTTCTTGATTTTCTTACAACATGGCCTCTGTGTCACTTTAATACCTTTAACATCATCAAACAGTAGTGGTCCTGCAAAGGCATCTATTAGCAACTTCCCCTTCATCTATTCCTGTTTTCCTAGGGGCACATGGCACCATTAAAAGGTTTTCTGAGGGGCTGGAGCAATAGCACAGCGGGTAGGGCGTTTGCCTTGCACGCAGCCGACCTAGTTTCGAGTCCCAGCATCCCATATGGTCCCCCGAGCCCCGCCAGGAGTAATTCCTAAGTGCATGAACCAGGTGTAACTCCTGTGAATTGCCAGGTATAACCCAAAAAGCAAAAAAAAAAAAAGGTTTTCTGAGTAACCCATGTGGGTTTCCTGCATTCCCTGGAAGTTCCTTGAGGCTCAGTGTCCCTAGGATCTAGAACAGTGCTCTGTATACAAAACACTCTGCAAGAAGATCCACATGAAGATGAGCAGGGATGGAGGGGGCTGGTTCAAGTAGGCATTGTGTTCACTTCAGAATGAAGAGCACTCAGAAATAATTTCCTGGAATTTACCAGCTTCATCGACTATTTCTTTTTGTTTTTGTCTTGGGCCACACCTGGCAGTGCTCAGGGCTATGTCCTGGCTCTGTCCTCAGGAATCACACCTGGCGTGGCTCGGGGAGACCAGATGTAGTGCTGGGGATTGAACCCGGGTCAGCTGTATGCGAGTGAGCACTCTCCCCACTTACTGTGTGTCCAGCAACTTTAATATATGTTAAACTTGTATGCAGGTGATCAGAGGATTGCTGAAATTCTGGCCAAAAACGTGCAGTCAAAAAGAGGTATGTCTGCTCAGTTAAGCCTTGACTTTTACCAGACTTCCTTCCCATGTGGGCGGGTGGTGGGGCAGGAGAGCCCACCCCAGACTCTTGCCGCATCAACACTGCCTCTCAATTCTTCTGACCAGGTGATGTTCTTAGGAGAGATTGAAGAGATCTTAGATGTCATTGAACCGACACAGTTCAAAAAAATCGAAGAGCCCCTCTTTAAGCAGATGTCCAGGTGTGTGTCCAGTTCTCACTTCCAGGTATGGCCTTTCAGAGGAGCTGGGGTCAGGCTGTCCTGTTCCTTCCTGTCGACATTTCCCACATGTTTTCATGTCTTTTCCAGGTTGCAGAGAGGGCTTTGTACTTTTGGAATAATGAATATATCCTTAGTTTGATTGAGGAGAATATTGATAAAATTCTACCTATCATGTTCGGCAGTTTATATAAAATCTCCAAAGAACACTGGAATCAGTAAGTGTCTATCATTTTTGTTTAGTCATTTGATCTGACCCATATATGAAACCTGTATAGATTCAGAAGTTAGATACATTTCAACTCAAGCCATTTGTCTAGATTCCATGTCTGTGTCGACCCTGGTGTACACAGGGTTCCTTCACAGCCCTCTGCCATGAGCTTCTTCCCAGTCTGGGTCTCTCTGTGTTGTTTTCAAGGAACAGCTGTGAATCTCCGCCAAGTAAGGCTGTCTTCTGGGCAAACTCCACTGTATGTGGTATCAGCCTCTGTGGGAAGCCTGAGGGGATGGCATGGCTGTGCCCACATGGCATATTCTCATCTCCTCCTAAGGCTGTTTTGTTCCATGTTTGACAGAATACATTCAGCTACAGAAAAGACAGGACTGGCGAGCTAGTACAGCAGGCAGGGCACTTGGCTTTGCATGCGGTCAATGCAGGTTCAGTCCCTGGTACCACATATGGTTCCCTGAGGCCGCCAGGAACGATTCCTAAGCATAGAGCTAGGAGTAAGCCCTGAGCATAGCCAGGTGTGGCACAGAAAGAAACCAAAAGGCAGCTAGAGACGGAAGCCTGTGCAGGGACGACTTGGTCCACTCTCCCGCATATCACCCACCCAGGCTCGCTCTCGTTCCAGGACCATTGTAGCGCTGGTGTACAATGTGCTGAAAACACTGATGGAGATGAATGGCAAGCTCTTCGACGACCTCACCAGCTCCTATAAAGCCGAGAGACAAAGGTGAGGTCCCGCGGCAGAGCTGAGTGGAGCCTCTTGCCTGAGTGAAAAGAGCACTTCAGCCAGGCACCCAGGATCATGTCTTTCCAGCTCTGGTGTCTGCACCACAGACACCATCTGTGAACTGTCCGTGTCGCTACCTGGGTGCACACTACAAGCTTACTTTCCCACTGGTCTTGTATTTAAGATACGCTTTTAATTTTTTACCTTTTTGGTTTTGAGGCGACACGTGGTGATGCTCAGGCGTTACCCCTGGCTTTAGTCATGAATTACTCCTAGTGGTGCCCAGGGGACCTTATGGGATGCCAGGGCTTGAACCCGGGTTGGCTGTGTGCAAGGCAAACACTGTATCTGCTGTGTAACACCTACTCTTACCCCAAGACCACATTTTAGTAAGATGGCTTGCTTCAGCGTGCCAGGATTGAATCTGGGCTTGTATCTGCTCAGCCTGAGCCACCTCTCCAAGCCTTGAGTACGGATAGGTCCAGATAAGCGAGGAAAGCCAGCATTGAGGAACGGGCTTATGGATCACCATTTCCCCCATTCCCTGCCAGCCTCCATGCTTCTGACTGGTGGGCTGCACCTCCCCCACTCCCCACCCCCGCTCTGATCTGCCAGAATGGATCTTGGCACTCACACCCACTCGGAAAGCTTTGTCACAGGAAAGAGTGGGCACTCCTCTCATCAGGGCTGAGTGCTTCAGAGGTCTCCTCTGAGCCAAGGATCTAGGGGTGGTTTCTTAGGCTGTGAGGTCAAGGCCCTAGGAAACAGAAGGGCTTTCCAGCAGGAGTAAAAGGGGCTGTGGCTTGAGCAATGCCCTGCAAGCTCACGCAGTCTGGGGCAAAGGAGTGTTGGGGTACGCGGGCTGAGAGGAGCACTGGTTCAGAGCTAGCTCATCTGAGGCCCACTACTGCCTAGTGGCGGAACGTGCCCCTGAGGAGGCATCAGCATGATGGAGCCTGTGCACTCCCTCCAAGGGCATCCCCAGGGCAGCGCAGTGAGGCTCAGTGAGCTGGTTTCTGATCACAAGTCTGATTTGTCTGCAGAGAGAAGAAGAAGGAGTTGGAACGTGAAGAATTATGGAGGAAACTAGAGGATTTAAAGCTAAAGAAAGCGCTCGAGATGCACAACAGTACCTACCATCTGGACGACAGCAGTTCTTTAGCAACACACAGCAGTCCCAGCAGCACAGGGTCCAAGTAACGGGCCTTGCCGCCAGGGCGACCTCTACACTTTTTTGAAATATGTAAAAATTATGAAACCTCATCAGTATAATTAAAAAGCCAATTTTTTCTCTGGCAACTGTCACTGAGCTGTGTCACAGCCACAGTATACTGTGCCCTCTGTCCAATCATTGATTCTGTCACCTCTGAAGTCCACAGAAATGAATTTCTCACCGACACGAGTGAGGTGATCACGGGAGTGGTAAGGACGCTTAACTCGGTTGTGTTCATGTCAGGCCCGGGAGTGTCTGCGCCACTCCGTGTGCTTCCCTCGTAGTCTTCCTCTCACTGCTGCAGCCTTACTCACAGCCAAGGACAAGGGGGTCTCCTGGAGTGGAACTAAGGGGGAGCCTGGGCCTCCCTCCCTTTACTGGTGATATTACCTACTCTGGGATTTGAGCAGAAGACTTAAATCTCCAGGCTTTTTAAAGCACAAAATAGAAAAGCTGGGAAAGTAAACCAAATTCTGCACTGTTCTCTCTTCCTCTGCGGCTCCTGAAGGGGGCTTGCAGTCTCCCTCACCCCTGACGGCTCCCTCACTGTCTGGCTTTGCGTTCAGGAGCACAGTCACTTCCTCTCTGGCCACGGCGAGGGCTTGTCTGCCCTTCACTGGCCGAGGATCTCCCCTCCGTTACCTGAGTACCATTCCAGTCTCTTCAGTTGCAGTTACGTGGAAACTGTTTTGTAATGAAAGATCTTCATTGCGGGATTGTGCAGCATTTAATAAAGTCTATGTTTGTATTTTGCCTTATTTCACGTTTGCTTTTTACATTCTCAGCATCAGGCACCCGCCCCCTCAACCACCACCCCGTTACACGGCAACACGGACATGAGAAACCTCCAGAGAAACTGACTGTGCTGGGCGTCCTAGGACCCCTCGCCCAGCACCCAGCCCTGCTCAGGGCGTCCCTGTGGTGTTCAGGGCAGGCCTCACTGCCCGCAGTTACCTGACCCAGGAGGCAAGCAGGATGAGAGGTCCAGTCACGAGGCCCCACCAGGCAGAGGTACAGACACGCACTGGCAACATGCGCTCCCGCTGGACCAACTGGACTTTTTATTCACCCTTCGTGAGATCATCCACATACACCAACTCGACCCCAGAGACAGGCCAGGCCCCGCCAGCTTGTCCCTCTGTTTTAGCTCAGTGTTTACAACATGCCACGCAAGTCAGGCATCGGCCTGCCCACAGGCAAGACTTGCAGGACGCCTCCACCCTGTCCTAAGTGCTTAAACCAAGAGTGCTGGCCAGAGGTGTGCAGGTGAAGATGGCCGTGTGGGGCAGCTCTGGGTCCACTTCCTTCTGTCCACTTTGAGACTCCACGGTGAATAGCACAAGCAAAGCCTGGCTACAAAGAAAAGTCAGGCCACAAATTCGGGAAACTCACTCTCCCACCCATCATCCACAACCCTTATGCATGTCTGCACAAACTCTGACTTGACCACTCAGATGATGTCTACGCTGCCTTCAGATGAAACAGCTGATCGTCCCGGAAGCCCAGCTTCCTCACGGGAGTATGGCGTGGCCAGTGGCTCAGGGAGCCAGGGCAGGTGGGGCGCATAGGGGACACCCCCGGGTGACCTGAGTTTGTGTGGTTTGCTGTCCAGCCGCTTTCTCAGGTAGCGTCTCCGGACCTTGATCATCCACTTGACACTGAGCTTGGCGAACTCTGCAGCCTTGAAGAGCGCCAGGAAGGCCCCACAGAGGAGCGCGATGGTGTTCCAGGGGTTGGCTGTGACGATCTGAGAGATAACGGTCCCGCTAGCGAGGGACCCTGGAAACCCTCCTTACTCTTTCCCCCCTACTGTCAGAGCTTGGTCTGGGGAAATGCCTGCAACAATGACCCAGTGGCCCACAGGCTGGCAGCAAGCGAATCCCCCAGCCTTGCCGCCACTTCAGGTGGCCCCGGGAACCCAGCACCATATGGAGTGTTAGAGATGCAGCTGGTTGTGAGCTGCAGGATGCTGGGGACTGAGCCTCATGGGCCAAAACAGGAGCTGTCCCTGAAGTGGGCGACAGGCCCATCAGTCACCCATGCCAGGAGGCCTGTCGACCCTGGGCCTAAGGGCCTGGCAGTGACGTTTCCCTGATGGCCACACCACTGCCCCTACTCACGTCCTGGACCTGCTGGATGAAAGGGTCCTTCCACTCAAATACCACGAAGAACAGCTGTGTGTGCTTCTCTGCCTCTGGCCGCCGGTCAATATAGTTAACCACACTGGTCTGTGCAGGAGAGTGGCATCGGGTGGGCTGCTGCCTGCTGCCTGTGTCAGCCCTCAAGGGCGGAGGTAATCCCCAAACTCTTGGGGTTTTTTTTTTGTTTTGTTTCGTTTTTGCTTTTTTGGGTCACACCTGGCGATGCACAGGGGTTACTCCTGGCTCTGCACTCAGGAATTACCCCTGGTGGTGCTCAGGGGACCATATGGGATATGGGATGCTGGGAATAGAACCCAGGCTAGCCGCATGCAAGGCAAACGCCCCACCCTCTGTACTATTGCTCCAGCCCCAGTTCCCAAGCTCTTGCCCCCCAGGCAGCCCCGGGGCCAGTGCATCCCCAGGTCAGCCCTGGGCACCACCAGGAAGGGCCAGAAAACTCAGATCTGCCTGGAGGTTCCTGTTCCCAGAGCTGCTCTGTGCTGGCATGAAGCTGTGGGGTTGCACAGCAGCCAAGACGGGATGGGGGGGGGGGGGTGTCCCCGGGGTCAGAGCCTGGCTGGAGGGCTCTCTAGATGGTCAGTCTTGCAGAAGGACGCAAGAAGCATGTCCCAGGCTGTGCCCCGAGGGGAAGTGGCCAGAACACCCTTTCCCAAAGGCGTCCAGACAGCAGCCCCGGTGGCCATCACTCGAGCCCTAGGTAGGCGGGAAAGCAGAGCCAGGCTCCTTGGGTGCTCCCCCAGCCCACTTCTCACCCTCCTGTCTGCCCTGTTCCTGCACTGTGCTCAGGCCCATGTCTTGGGGCACTAGACAGATAAATGAGGGGAACCAGTCACCTGCTGCTGCTTCCCAGGGCTGCTGTCCCCCCTCAGAGGACAGTAAGACAGGCATGTGCTCTGCACCCGGGTCCAGCCTACCTCCTGCCGGAATTCCACAGCCTCCCGTCCGTCCTCCTCCTGCGTCTTCACCAGCGACATCTTAACCCAGGTGCGGAAGCCGCCCGAGAAGCGCCAGCTGGAGTAGGCGCTCTCGCAGGCCTGCATAAAGCCCGCCCTGTCGGGGCTGTGGACAGGGCTGGTCAGCAGGGTACCAGGAGGCCCCGGTTAGAGCCCTGCCCCGCAGCCCCCGCACCTCTGCAGAAAGTCCTGGAAGGAGGAGAAGAGCAGGTAGCTGATGGCGCTGAAGTCCTCACTGCTGCCGTTGAGACGCAGCTGCAGGAAGACCAGCTCGCGCTTCTTCACCTCTCGGGGCCCCCGCACCACCAGGGCCGACTTCTGTAGGGCAACAACTGGTGAGCTGGGGGCGCCACCTGGACCTTCTGCCCGAGGCCTCAGGTCTCATGGTCGCTGACCAATCTGCCAGAGGCAACCGTCTCCCTCTGACTGTGTCTTCCTACCACTGTCTTTACAGCTCCGAGCATGGGTTTGGTACCTTCCACCTTCTGCTTCGAGCTCTTGGGTCCTTCCCGCTAAGACAGGCCACAAGCACTGACGGCACCTCTGCCTTCCACACCACCAGAGCGCTCCTTCTGGACCCACTCTTCTTCCCCACCGAGGAGTCCCCAGGGGGCCCTCTGGCCTGGCAACCCTCCCCCTCTCCGTCCCTAGACTCTCCCATATGTGGGAGCAGACGTGGTGCGGGAGGTGCAGGTGAGGTCTGGGGGGAGAGGGGGTCCTTCCTGAGCAACCCCCGGGGGCCTTGATGCAGCTCAGTGCCCATGGGCTGCCAGGGTGCAGGCTGGGGTCCCCAGACCCTTCCTGCCCACCTGGGGCCGGGCTTTCTCATTCATGCATCAGCAGACCCAACATGCTGCCTGTGTTTCCCACCCCCCCCAACAATTGCTCAGATCCAGGGATCCCCTGCAGCACAGAAAGAAGGCGGGGCAGGGGCGGGGGCGCCGCAGGAGTGGCGGTCACCAGGGTCTGGTTGGAGAAAGGGTCCGTGTAGTTGACTGTGCGCGTGTCACACTCCATAAGCCCGTGTTCTCCTGGACTCCGCAGACGGGGGATGGTCTCGTAGTGGTGCTGACAGCTCAGCAGTTGTGCCTGCCCAGGGTACAGCGCGATGCCTGGGGGACAGACAAGGTTCAGGGTCACCGCCCACCCAACGCCTGGAGGCCCAAGTCCAGGTCCCATGCATGAGACTCCAACTGGGCACTCCCCTTCCTGGTCCCACAGGGAGTCCCCGGGGGGGTCCTCTGGCCTGGCAGCCCTGCCCCTCTCCGTCCCTGGACTCCTGAGAAGATGCTCAGGGAACAGGAGAGAGAAGTCAGGCTGGGCGCCTCTGAACTCCACCACTGCTAAGCCTAACCCTAGCCAGACACCCCGGGTGGCAGCCAGGCTGGGCTCTGAGTGGCAGGACCCTCTTCCCGTGGCCCAACCTCCCGCCCCTCACTCCCACTTCTCTGCTTGGCTTCGGTGCCAGCTGGATGCCCTGGCGAAGTCCCTGTCCCCGGCACTGTCGGGCCCCACCTGGGGCCTTGTACTGCTGCACCTCCTGGTAGGACACGGACATGACAGGGTGCTTGAGCTTCTCGCGGAAGTCGGTGATGGTTTGGTAGACCAGGAAGACGGCCACAGCCATGAGAAGCAGGTAGATGAGGATCAGCAGCACAGACGCCACATTCTTGAGACAGGCCTTGCTCACGCGGCGGCCATGGCCGGGGGGCTCGCTGGCCAGGGCTGGGGACAACACCCTGTCACTGCTTCTGGGCCTGCTCTCCCGGTAGCCCCCACCCAGCCAGACCACTGTCGGCAGCAAACAGGACCTCGAGAGGCCACTGCTTCCCTCTCACTGGCAGGAGGCCCCGCAGGCCAGCGTAGCCGGCACGGCAGGGGTCAACCTTCGAGCGGCCGGTGGCAGCTGGCACAGGACAGAGGCCCTGTCTGGGGGCCTGGGCCCACGCATGCGCAAGACGCAGGGTTCAAGTCCCACTGCCACTAAACGAAGCCTAACAAAAACCAAAAGAAAACTGAAAAGGTGAAAGAGGCCACGTGTTGCTTCTCTAGAGGTCAAAGCCGCGGCCTGAGCCAGGGCTCTGGGCTCACAGGGAGCCTGAGGCCCGGATAGGATACGGCCCCGGAGCAGAGGGGCTGGTGGGGCACGGCACGAGGCCATGCCCTGGAGCCGCGTGCGGGAAGGCGAAGCTGGTAAAATATTTAGGGCAACGAGGTAGTGGAGAGACCCGACACCAGGCGCCGCCGCACCTCACCTGGGAAGACGCCAGGACCAGGGGCTCTGACTGTGGGCGCCTGGTCCTGCTCCAAGTTCTCCACCACCTGCTCCAAGTCCTCACTCAGCTGCAGGGGGAGAGGCGGTCAGCAGTGAGACCAGGACAAAGGGAGATGGGACCAGCTGCTCAGCCAGCAACCGGGGGCACTGGGCCTTACGGCAACCCTGGGAACAAGACCCTTTTGTCCAGGGAAGCCCATCTCAGGTGCTGGTCAGGGACAGAAGTCAACACAACACAGTCCTCGCCCAGGGCACCTGGGGTCACAGGCAAGCTGGACTAGGTCCCCAGCCATGCCTGGCGGTGGGCAGACTTCAGTCTGAGCCCTCCTTGGCACCTGTGGCCAGGAGCTCCTCACCTGGTGCCTAGCCCCAGAGCCACAGAACCCAGGGGGGCGTCAGGAGGGGCCACGGCTGGCAGGTGGGAGACTTCGAGGGTGACTCTGGGGACAGGCTGAGGGGCAGCCGAGCCCAGCCTGGGCAGAAGGGTCAGCACTTCTGTCCACATCTGGGAGTGCTGACTATGTGGCCCCCAACACCGGGCAACACCCCACATGAGCCCACACAGTACCAGGCAGCCCCACAGGGCACCGCCTGTCCTGGAAGTTGGAGGCCACCTAAAGGGAGAGCAAAGTGGGACACGCACCCTCCTCGCTCGGCTCTCTGGGGCGCACTGGAACTCACTGACTTTCCGCTCGGGCAGACCATCCCCCCAGCACGAGCGGAAAGTCCACGAGCTTCTTGAGACGGGAGGCGGAAGAGAAGCAGCCACGGGTCCCCAGATCCTGCACCAACTACCGCACACCTCCCACTCTGCTGGCCAGCCCGGGAGGCTAGAGAAACGGGAGGGCACAAGGGCCAGGGCGAGAGCGGAAGCATCTTTCTAAGGGTCCGTGCGCAGGGCGTTCGCGGGGAGATGAGCCGCAGCCTCGCGCGTCCTGGAGCGTCCCGAGGGAGAGCCGGGCACCCCGGGCCACACTGCGGGCCTGGAGGGGACAGGCTCCCAATCCGCCAGAGCCGGAGTCTGGGGGTGGGCTGGGCAGTGCCGGGGCGAGGGCGCAGGGAGGCTGGGGCCGGGCGGGCCGGGAGGGCGGGAGGCGGGTCCGTCCGGGCGGAGACAAAGCAGCGGTGAGCGAGCGCGCGGGGCGCCGCGGCCGCCGGCACCCACGTGCCCGCGCGGGCTTCGCTTCCCCCGCCGCCCCCCGTGCGGCCCGCCCGCCCGCCCGCCCACCGCGCGGCCCGGCCCGCTCCCGGCCGCCCTCCCCGCCCGCCGCACCTCCTGGTAGGACGTGGAGCGCTCCTGCCGCGGCATGGCCTGCGCGGGCGACGCACACCTGGGCGCAGGTGGGCCCGGGACGCGCAGCGAGGCGAACGCGCGGCCGCAGCCCGTGCCCCGCCGCGACCCGGTTCCGAGCGGCCGCCGGGTCAGCGCCGGCCGGGCCGTGCCAGGCGGGCGGGGCTCGCGCAGGCGCCGCGCGAGGCTTCGCGGGGCCTGCTGGGAAATGTAGTCCCGGACCCAGCCCCGGTGCGCCCGAGCGCCGGCGGTGCGGGACCTAGTGGGGGACCTAGTGGGGAGGACCCCGAGTGCCAGGGAGGGAGGTGGGAGAAGGGGTGCATGGTGGGTGTGTTTTGAGGGGGAGCCCGAGAGTTGCAGGGCTCCGGCGAGGGGAGAAGGTCCGAGGCAGCTTCCCCTACCCCGAACCCGGACTGCAGGAAGATCCACTCTCGTCCACCTTAGAGCAGGTGCAGAAACCCGGACGGCAGGTCCGGGCACCTCGTCCCAGACCCCAGACTGTAGCAGCTGCCCTGCAGCCGCCAGAGGCACCTTCCCCAGGCCGCTCCCCCCGCAGGGAGGGCGCGACTTTTTCGTGTCGGCTTCCCCCCCACCCCGCCCCAGCCCTTCCACTCCCCGCCCCTGTCCTTTGTGCGGTCCCTGGACCCTCTGAACCACGTTTCTGCTTGAGTGACACGCACACTGCGCCCTGGACAGCACAGATTGCTGTGGGAATTAGCAATGCACACGGGGCCGAGGCCGAGAGGCCCCTCGCAGGCGGCCTCCTGTGTCCTTCCTGCACACACTGTTTTTCCGAGTCGCACCGGAGTCCAAGAGGACAGCCCTCTGGGCCCTCTCAGGACCCGCTCACGGCTTCTCGGATCTGCTTGGCTTCCTCTTCCGACACTCCATGCCTGCAGCTCGCTTCTCCCTGCACCCCAGGCAGCCCTCTGCTTGCGCCCACATTCTTCTCCTAGGCCAGTAGTAACTGACACCTCTTAAACAGCAGATCTGGGGGGACCTGGGGAAGAGGCGGACAAGTTGCGGCTGCCTGGGGTGGGTAGGGAGGGGGTGCCGAGTTCGGGGCTCAGGGCAGTCAGCTGGAGCTGGAGCACTGAACACCTTTGTCTGCGGGAGGGTGAGTGCCTTGAGAGGAAGCTGGGAAGTGGGAAACCTGCCTCCTCCCGTCTGTTTCCCACTTTGTGCTTCGGCCCCTAGAAGCCCCTCAATCAGCTCTGAGTACCCCTGTGCCCGCCAGTGGGTGCGAAGGCAGACAGCCCAGGGCCAGCACCCTACCTCCACCCCACCAGCCCAGACCCCTGGTCTGTCATGTGCCCCGCCATGGGCCTGCCAGTCCCCTGCGTCGTGTGGGTTCCTGCCTGGGCATGATCTGGCCCACATCCACACCTGGGGTGCCCACTGTACCCTGCTGGGCCATTTCCTCATCGCCCAAGTCTCGGGAGACCACTTATCCCCCAGATCAAGCTGCATCCTCCTCTGCTCCGCTACCCTGTTCCCTGCTCCCACACTCTGACTCCTTCCACCTCCTATCGCCGGCTGGGGTTGCTTCTCTTCATTGCCCAGCCCTTGGGTGGCAGAGAGTTGGGTGCCAGGGAGGAGAAGGGGGTGGGGAGGCTGCCGCAGTGGGGTCCTGTTCTGAAGACTTGGAAAAAGGCGGGGAGGTGCGGAAGTGAGTCACGAGATCAGTGGGATAAGCGGGGACCAGCTTCTGCCCAGGCTGTCCAGAGTGGGGATGGGGCACAGGAGGGCTACCGATTGGGCAGGGCTGCGGGGGCCAGGAGGGCCACCGGGAGGGCCCGAGGGAGAGAGGCCAGTAGAGAAGTTGATGGGAAAGACCACCAAGACAGCTAGAGAGAATGGAGGAAGTGAAACTGGTCAGATCTCGGATTCCGGAGCAGGGGAAGATTGTGCAAGCGAGGCAGCGTCGCGCGGTCTGGGCAGAGCTCCTGCGGGGCAGCGCGGGGCTTCTAATCCCTGAACTAATCTAAGGAATATTCTTTAGCTCCGCCTTCAGTCCGCAGTTTGTAGTCGGGCCTCGGGACGCATCCCACTTTCACATTTCGCGGCGGCGCCGGCGAACAGCCGGGCCGGAGGAGCCCGGGCAGCGTTTGGAGCTGCGGTCGCGGGAGGGCGGGCCCGCGCGGCGGGCGGGGCCCAGCGGCCCGGAGAGGGCGGGGCTTCTGGAAGGGGCGGGGCTCCAGGGAGAGTGGGCGGGCTCCGCGGGCAGGGGCGGGGCCGGGGCGGTGGGCGGCGGGGCCGGCGCCACGGCGGGGCCGGATTGGCTGGCATTCCCGGAGGGCGGGCGCGCGGGCCCAGCCCGGACCCGGCCGGCTCGCGCGCTCGATGGCGGCCGCTGCGGCGGGGCGGAGGCCGTGGCCGCTGGCCGCGCTGGCCCTGGCCCTGGTCCTGGTGTCGCCCGCCGCCCGCGGCCAGGTTCCGAGCACGAGAGAGCCGGCGAGCCCGGTGCGGCTCTTCACGGAGGAGGAGCTGGCGCGCTACAACGGCGTCGAGGTAGGCGAGGCCGGGCGGGCCGTGGGGGGCTCCGGGCTCCGGGTCTCGGCGCCCCGCCGGGTTCGGGTCGGGCAGCCCCTCCCCAAGCGCCCCGGAGTAGGGTCCTGGCTCAGTGTGTGTGTGTGTGTGTGTGTGTGTGTGTGTAGGGTCCTGCAGGGGAGAGGACGCCCTTCCTGGGCTGATCCCACAGCCTGTGTGTGTGTGTGTGTGTGTGTGTGTGTGTGTGTGTGTGTGATGCCACAGCCTGTGTGTGTGTGTGTGTGTGTGTGTGTGTGTGTGTGTGTGTGTGTGATAGGGTCCTGGCTCAGTGTGTGTGTGTGTGTGTGTGTGTGTGTGTGTGTGTGTGTGTGTGTAGGGTCCTGCAGGGGAGAGGACGCCCTTCCTGGGCTGATCCCACAGCCTGTGTGTGTGTGTGTGTGTGTGTGATGCCACAGCCTGTGTGTGTGTGTGTGTGTGTGTGTGATGCCACAGCCTCTGTGTGTGTGTGTGTGTGTGTGTGTGTGTGTGTGTGTGTGTGTGTGTGTAGGGTCCTGCAGGGGAGAGGCCCAGAGAGCCTGATCCTGGAAGGCGGCCTCGTGGGCATCCCGGCCTTCCAGAGCGTTCCTCCGCCCTCACACCGGGTCTGTGTGCAGCACGGATCCCAGTCACCTGTCCAGGCTTCCCAGCCCCTTGGGGACCCCCTTCGTAGCTGGAGGGCGCTGCCTGGTGCGCCCTGGGTGCTTGAAGAGCTGTGCGGAGCCACAGAGGAGGGTGCCCTGTCTCCGGTGGCTGCTTCACAGATCTGCTTTCGATTGATCTTTTTTTTTTTTCCTTGGGGTGAGGAGGTGTCTGCAGAGTCACATCATGAGGAAAAGGCCACGTGAAAGGAAAAAATTGTTTTGCTTAGGCACACCCTCAAGCTGTAGGTATGGAAGTGGGGTCCAGTCAGGAATGGCCCCCAGAACACGGGACCATGCCCGATGGTCAGTGAGCTCAGTCCCAGTGACACGCGCTACCTGTCACCTTCTTCCCAGCACTGGACAGATTTCCCCAGTTTCCTCTCTGAGTAAGGCTAGATTCAACCTAAAGTTTGTGAGCTAAGGTACCACTTTCTGCTGGCTATTGGGACAGAAACATTAAGGATAAGACTTGGTCAGAACTGTGCTTGTATTTCTTCTGCTCCAGATGGCTTTTCAAAGGACCAACTGGGAAAACACCACATGTGAGTCGCTTCTGCACTCTGACCGTGGGATTCATGTATTGAAATAGGTCTCCAAGAAACAGTTCCCAGGTCCAAAAGAAAATATTTGAATGCCACGTTCGTAGTTCTGAGAAGTTGAAAGCAACCCAGATGCCCCAAACAGGAGAGTTAGAGAACAACTGAGTTGCTGGTGGCGCGGCGGTGATGGTTCCTCCTGTCTGGAAGCTTCCCTGTGACTGTTCCCTACAGAAGCAACAGTAGGGGCCGAGCAGCAGGACAGCAGGGAGGGTGCTTGCCTTTGTGGCCAAACCTGGTTCGCTCTTCAGCACCCCATATGGTGTCCAGGAGTGATTCCGGAGTGCGGGGTGTGGACCCAAAACACAAACAGAAATCAGTGCTCTCTGTATCCGTGTGCCCGCTCTGTGCACAGGGGCTGTACCTGCCACTGCTAAGGATCAAACCAGGGTTGCTGCATGCTAGGCAAGTGTCTTAACCTTTCTTTAGTTATTTTCTACTATTTTTCCAGCCTGTCCTTTCAGTTTGTATCTGGGTAAAACCATTGTAGTGTAGGTTTTCTTTTTTTTTTTTTTCCGCTTTTTGGGTCACACCCGGGGATGCACAGAGGTTACTCCTGGCTCATGCATTCAGGAATTACTCCTGGCAATGCTTGGGGGACCATGTGGGATGCCGGGAATCGAACCCCGGTCAGCCGTGTGCAACGCAAGTGCCCTACCCGCCGTGCTATGACTCCAGCCCCTGTTGTTGTTATTTTTGAGTCACACCTGGTGATGCTCAGGGCTTAGTCCTAGCTCTTGTGCTCAGGGATCACTCCTGGCGGTTCTTGGGGGACCATCTGGAGTGCTGGGGATGAAACCCGAGTCAGCTGCATCAAGGCAAGTGTTCTGCCCGCTGTGCTGTCTCTCCGACCCCTAGATTGTTGTTAAGGTACTGGCGTGCCTTGTCACGATCTGTGCCTTCCCCACAACCCTGTGCTTTCCAGGTGAACAAGCCCATCCTCATGGCTGTGAAGGGCGTGGTGTTCGACGTCTCTTCCGAGAAGCGTAAGTGTCTGGGTGGGGTCAGAGTCCTTCGGGGGGGCCTGGGTGCGCCTGGTCCAGGGATGCTTTCCCTTCACTGCAGTCAACACGGCAGCTCAGCGTGGCTCCCGGAGTCTCTCCCGTGATGCGGGCTCCTGCCCACGTTCTCTGTGGCCCTCATGCCCTGCAGAACCAGGCCCACACTGATGGTTCCCTCTCACTGCCGGGAGAGGAGGCACGTCTTAGCCAGGAGAAGGGTGACGCAACATTCCTGAACAGTTCAGTATCCCGTGGAAGTAGCTCTGGCCTGATGCTAACCTCTGCTGGAGGAACACTGGCCTGGTGCCAGGGTGTGGGCCTGACGGCTCGGAGTCTGGGCTGACCAGACAGCGCGGCTCGGCCGGGCTGTGCTTGGGGCCCTCCCAGTGTTTGGAGGGCTGTGTGAAGTGGGGACCAAACTCCAGGACCCTGCATGCGGAGCACGTGCCAGCCTTCGGAGCTGCGGCTGAGATACTTTTTTTTTTGCTTTTTGGGTCACACCCGGCAATGCTCAGGGGTTACTCCTGGCTCATGCACTCAGGAATTGCTCCTGGCGGTGCTCGGGGGACCATATGGGATGCTGAGAATCGAACCTGTGTTGGCCATGTTGGCTGCGTGCAAGGCAAACGCCCTACCCGCTGTGCTATCGCTCCAGCCCCTGAGATACTTTTAAGAGACTGTCTTCATGCTCTTATTACTTGGTTTTGTTTGGGGGGCACACCCAGCAGTGCTCGGGGGCTCTGGGGGGTGCTGGGAGTCAAAGCTGGGCCAGTCCATGCCAGGCTGGCGCCCTCCCCGCTGTGCTTCTTGCTCTGGCCCCGGATCACATTTTCCTTCGCCTCTTCTCCATATTCTGAATTCGGGAGATGCAGACAGATTGGGGGACCCTGAGAGGGCCCCCTCCTTCCTGCTGCTCTTCCTGAGGCCCAAAGCCTTGTGAGGCTGGCAGGGCCCGAGAGCTGTGTCTCCCGCTGGCCAGGTTCTCATACCTCTTCTCCCCCTTTGCAGAGTTTTATGGCCGTGGTGCCCCCTACAACGCTCTGACCGGGAAAGACTCCACGAGGGGGGTGGCCAAGATGTCCCTGGACCCTGCAGACCTCACCCATGATACTGTGAGCCTTGGGGGCACTGCACCCACCTGCCATCCCAGCTGAGCCCTCCCTCTCCCTGCACCACTACTGCGGCCTCCTGGGACCCCCATGGGGCAGGGTGGGTCACCTGCTCTGTCACAGTGAGACCCCCAGAGTCCTGTGGCGGCCGCAGCGGGGAGGAGAGTGGGTGTGGGGAGGCCACATGTCCTCCTGCACTGGGCTGGCTGTCCCCGAGAGCCTGCGCGGTGTCCACCCACGGCCCATGGCGGCTGTGCTGGACTGCCCCTGCCTGGACCGTGGGGGGCTCAGGCGGAGTGCCGCTCTCACCCGCCGCTGGGCTCCCTGCAGACAGGACTGACGGAGGAGGAGCTGCAGTCGCTGGAGACCGTCTTCACCGAAGTGTACAAGGCCAAGTACCCCATCGTGGGCTACACAGCCCGGCGCATCCTCAATCCTGATGGGAGCCCGAACGCCAACTTCATCCCCGAGGACCGGCCGCATTTTGACCTGCGTGAGGACCTCTGAGCCGCCGGCCGTGCAATAAAGCCACTATCAGACCGTGCCGCTGCCACTGTCCTGCCTGATGCCCAGGTGCGCCCCCCACCTGGAGCCCCCGGAGCCCTGGCTGCATGTGCCCAGCCACGGCCAGCCTTTCTAGGCATGGGGTGGGCATGACCGAGCGCACCCCACACCCCTCACTGCATTCTACATTGACCTCAGTTCCCCGTCTGCCCTCCCCGGGTCAGTGCCGCTCTCAGCCCCCCAAGTTTCTTTCCTTCCTGCCAGTCCCCATGCTCAGGTCAGGACCCTACCCCCTTGGGCACCGCCTGCCCAGCCTTAGTTTCCCACCCACTTCTGTGGCCACGTGACTGTCACCCTGGGCTTAGCAGTGCCCACAGCCTCCCAGGTGCCCTGCCTGCGTGTCTGTGCCGCCTCCTGGGGTGGCCTTCCATGGTGCCCTTTTGTCTTGTGGGCCCACTCAGACCCGTCACAGCCAAGGCTGGAGTGTCCTGGGAAATGCCAGGTCCCTGCCCGCCACACAGCTCTCCCAACTCCGCACTGCTCCTGGGGGCCACTGAGGCACCCAGAATTCAGCTCTGTACTCTGGGTCCTCCTCTTCCCCTTCCCTCTGAGCTGCAACTCCAAGTCCCTAGCCACTGGGAAGCCTCACTTCACAGAATCCCAGAGGCCTGGACAGTGCCTCTGTCCAGCTGACCCAGCCCACAGTCAGCTCATTCCGTGGCTCCTGTCTGCTGGGACCTGGGTTGACAGGGCACAAGTCAGGAGCTGCCTCTGCTTGCCAGGGTCTCCAAGGGTCCCCAGGACCAGGACTCCACAGAGATGTGAGTCGTTGGGGGTCAGGGTGTGTGGGAATCTGCCGGGGCTTCTGTCCTCCACCGGGTTGGCCAAAGTGCTCTGGTAGCTGGTGGGCAGAACATTCAACCCTGGCAGCTGCAGGGGACCCACACCCCACTCCTCAGGGCCCCTCTGCTCTGGCGGGCACACACACACACACACACACACACACACACACCCCACACACCCCACACCCAAAGGGCCTGGGGTGGAGGTGACCGACCAGCCCTGAGGGTCCCTGTGTGACAGCAAGTGCAGCTGCTCTGTTCCGCTCACCCTAGCCTGTCCCTGCTGCCTCCACGGGCCACGTACCATGGTGAGGTTCCCGCCTCCCAGGAGATGGGGCCCAGCACGGAGAGGCAGCCCGCTGCCCCTGGCACGCACGGTAGTGGAGAAAGATGGGTCAGGGTACTCCGGGGCCCTAAAGTATACACTGACAGTGCATAAGCAGCCCTACACATGCACACACACGCATGGTTGCATGCATGTGCACTCACACGCATGCACGTAGTCACACGCATACACCCGCATACATGCAGTCATATTCACGCTTTCCCCAGGGGAAAGCTACACACACACATACACATAGGCATATGTACCTATTTGCACACACACATACACATACTTGCACGTCTACACATACTCATGCACATGTGCTCGCACACATGCACTCACGGTCACTCGCACACATGTGCTCACACACTCACATGCATTCACACACACACATATACTCACATTGGCACACACAGTCACACACTTGTGTGGCACTCACAGCCCACTCCCGAGGAAAGACTCTGGGGACTGCGTCTTGACTCACCCTTCACCTCTGCCCCTGGGTCCCAGCTCCCCTCCCTCCCACCCTTGCCGCCAGCTGGAAGCTTATCCTGGACAGGGACCAGGCTTCTACCCGGATACTGCCCGGAGCAGAGAAACCAGCTCAGCTCCCCTGGACTCCAGGTGGACAAGCTCCCTGCCACCCCTGCTTTGGCCACCGGGGGGCAGCAGTGTGTAGCCGATGGCTCACCAGGGCTGCTCTGAGCGCCAAGTGTGTGTGGACTCGCCCCTGCTCCTGCACCGGACCAGGCCTGTACCCCGATACTCCCCGAGCATACTGGCATGTTCGCATCCTTCCCTCCCCAGGGCCCTCTCAGGAGCAGGGTCTGAGGTGTGCCCAAGGCCGCTGCATGCTGGGTCCTGGGAGCCGCCGTTTCTGCCTTTTCATTTCTCTGTGGGCTTTGGGCCATAGCAGCTGCCCTGAGGCTCAGGCCTGGCCCTGGTTGGGCATCGCCCAGCGGTGCTGGGGCGCCACCTTCAGTGCGAGCCTGGGCCCCCTGACTCGGCACTCGCCCAAGGGGGGCAGGCACCCGTGGCTCCTGTGGCCATGTCCTGCTCACGCCCCAGGGGGCTGCTCCCAGGACACAGTAGGGCCAGGGGACCGCGGCTGCCTGGAGCCCCCTTCCACAACTCGCTCCCCACTGCCCACACCCCTCCAGAACTTTCCACCTTACCCCACCGGGAACCGGCCTGTGCACACACGGAGGGGAACTATGGTGACGCGATGACCCGTGCCAGTGACTCAGAGGCTGAGAGACAGGCCCAGTCTCCATGGGGACCCAGGCAGGCCTGGGCAGTGTGGAGGGCAGCACCCCCAGCCTCACCCATGTGGGGCTGGCCTGCAACAGGGAGGGGTCTCTGAGGTGTGAGAGCCAGTGTTGGGGTGTTGGGTGCCCACGATGCAGCTCCCCTATGAGTCCGCACACTTGGGGAGCAGTGGGAAAGGGCTCATGCTCTGCCCAGAACGTTCCACACCAGCCTCCCCGGCCCCATGGGCTGTGCAGCAGAGACAGCAGCAGGGGCAGTCACGTGCCCAGGTGGGACCTGGCCACTGGGCTCTGAGTAGGACCCGCAGTGGCCCTGCCCCCAATGCCCGGCTTCTCGGGCTCATGGCGTCCTGGAGTCCACTTGGCGGCCTCCCCAGTGGATGGGGTCACCAGCGGCTCCAGCTGGGGGACCCCTGCACCATGAGTGCAGGGCACATGTTTCTGGGCTCCGGGCCACCCTCTCAGGCCGGGGCTGTGTCAGACTGCCACTCAGGATTGTCAGAGGTGACCCTACAGAGGTGGGCACAAAAGTACAGGACATCTGAGCCAGATGCTGCCCACATTGCCTGGCACCACGAGAAACAGCTTGAGGTGGGGTCAGGGAAAGCCCTGCCTGAGCCCAGGGGCACCAGCCCTGTGCTCTCCCTGCTCTGGGAAGGGGGAGCGTGGCCTCAGGGTGACAGCAGAAAAGGACAAGACCAAAGAACTGTGTGAGAAAGACACAGGGACAGACGCGAGACAGAGACAGACACGGACAGAGACAAATATGGGGACAGAGACAGACACGGAGAGAGACAAACATGGGGCAGAGACAGACACGAGCACGCAGACAGGGGCACGGGGGACAGAGTGAATCCCGGTCTTTCTAGCACATTCTAGTGCAGTCTCAGCCCATGCCCTGAGTGGCTACGGGGCAAGTGGGACATGGCTTCCAGGAGGCTGGCCAGAGGGTGAAGCAGCCTTCTCGGGCGTGGCGGGTTCTCAACAGCCCCGTGATGTCACTTCTGGCTGGAAGTCGTGAAGTCACATGACCTGGCCACGTGGGGGCTTCCCCACCGATAACACAAACAAACAGGCCCGTCACCAGGGATAGTCAGTCACGTGGGAGCTGCTCCCCAAGATTAGTCAGAGAGCAGAGGCCGGGAGGGGGCAGCCCCTCTGGGGCTGGGTTCAACGTGTCTGTCGGGCACCCACAGGGCCGCTCAGTGGCATGTCAGTCAGACTCAGGACTCGAGGGTAGCACTTGGGCTCCAGGTGGGGGACACCAGAGGCCTGGCCCCTCCCTGCCTCACACAGGCCCCGGCTGGCCTCTGCCTGCTCCCGTGCCGGCCCCCCTGGGGTGCGCCCTGTGGGAGCCTGCAAAAGGAAAGACAGCCGCGGGGACGAACGGGGCCTTTGTGTGGCCACAGCTGCCCTCTGCCCTCCAGCTGCCCCACCGCTGCCCCTCCTGTGGACCCCCGCAGGGCAGCAGGGCTCCCTCGGGGGCATCCCTCCAGGCCGGGCGCCAAGGGCTACCCAGCACGCGATGGCTCAGAGATCCTGACGATGACTGTGTGACTCAGCGAATATGAGTCCGTGCCAGGCCCTTGATCAAGGTCATGTCAACTCCCCGCCAGGGGAGGGACTGAGACCCCCCCACCCCCTCCTTGCTGCAGCCCATCTGCCGGCCCCCCTCATGGTGGATCTTGGCTCCTTCTGGAACCTTTCACCGACCACTGCAGAATTTTCAGGTAGGGTCGAGCAATAGGACAGCAGGGAGGGCATTGGCCTTGCACACAGCCAACACAAATTCTATCCCCCGTGTCCAGTTAGGGTTCCCTGAGCCCTGCCGGGAGTGACCCCTGAGCACAGAACTAGGAGTAAGTCTTGTGCACCACCAGGTGAGGCCCCCAAATAACACAGATTCTCAAGATCTCTGCAAACCTCTTCCCGCCTTCTGAACAGACATGAGGGGTGTAGAGTGGCAGGAGAGACCGACTGTGCTCCGACAAAGCAGGACCCCTGCTCAGGCAACATCCAGAGTCACCAATGATGGAGGAGGAGGGACTGGGGTCTGAGGGTCTGTGGAATGGATAGCGGGGCCTGCGGGAGTACGGGACCCCCAGGACTCCCTCCTTAGGGTCACCCTCACGAGTTTTCAGACCTCTCACCAGGAGGAATCTCGGAGCCACTAGGCCCAGCTGGTGCTGGCAGCCCACCCGCTGCGCCACTCTCCCACAAGCCTCAGCAGGGTGACAAACGGCCACCGTACTCCCTGGCACGCCCGACCTCTTCTCACTGTGCGCCGTGTCTCCAGGAACAAGCGATCCAGAGCTCGCCCAGGAAGACCTGTCCAGGGGTCTCGTGTCTTAGCATCCAGCAAACCCAGGTCGCCGATGAACCCTCCTAGAGGTCTTCTCTTCTGTTTCTCTTGGTCATTCTGACTTGTGAGTACAACTGGCTGTTGCACTCCAGACACTGAGCCTGCATTCCAGAAAGGAGGAGAAAGGACAGACAGAAGCTTCAGTGCTATCTCTGGCTGAGTGGGGGCTTTGTACATGGTGGCCCAACTTTAATCTCTGACACCGCATGATCCGTGAACACCGCTGGGAGTGACCCTCAAGTA